GTGTATAAGAGACAGGCGCAGCCCTCTGCCGGGGCGCCTGAGGAAAAAAGGTCGCCCTTCGCGACCCTCACCGGGCCCCTCCGCGCGTTATAGGATTTCTAAGTCAAACCCGCCCCAGTGAGCGGAAAGCTTCGACGTCGCGGCAAACCGCCGCTGCAGCTGGTGGCCTCCAGGTGGAACCCCCACCCCGGGCTGCCACTGCCTGCGGGCACACTGCCGACCGTTTATTTATGGTTTTTAACGTAGAGGCATGTCGTCTGCTCCTTTTTAATTTAAAATGATAGGTTAGCATTACACGAGCACCCCGAAGTCCACCTGTTGTATCTATCTCTGCTGTGCCAGCCTGTGTGTGTGAAAACAAAAACCCCACTGCTCCTTGTACTGCTTCTCTGAGGTACTGACCTGCCAGGGTGAGTGAGGTAGAGACTACAAATAAAGAAAACCAATGTATTTCAGGATTTCATTAAGTATTTTCCACATTGGGGCAAGATTGTGTCTCGAAGAGCAGGCAGCTGTTTGGATGAACTGTGAAAGTAAAAAAAAAAACGGCTCCAAATTTCATGTTACTTTTTCTTTTCACAAATATGTAAAGTATTTTGCTAATCACAGGGTGGGGCTGCTATACAAAAAGGGTAGTGTATAATATAACACTATAAACCCGGGACCTCAAAGGAGGGATTTTGGTAGCAGGGAGTGTAGAGAAGATTTGTTAACTAAATTAGACTATAATTAAGAGCTTTTTTGTTTTAACTTTCAGAAAACATTAGAAATTTGTATGTTGATATCCACTTGCGATAGTTTAAGCTTGAATTTTGGCTAACATGTTAAGTTTTGTAGGATGTGGCCTAGACAGAACATACATAGCTAACAGTGGGTTAGCTAGGAAATGTATGCCAGTGTGCTTGTAAACTGGCAATCTAGACTTTTTCAGACATTTTAAGTTATTGGAGTGGTTCTGTTCTGTTTGAGCTTCTTTATTTTTCAGGTTTTGGAATACAATAGCAATTAGGTTTTCTTTATATTCATCTTGGTGTATGAGTAGTAGAAATAGGGAGTTGTCTAGAATTTTACAATATTTTTTCTTCTAACACTGAAGTACCCACAGATTATGTAAGGCATCTTGAGAGTTGCTATTTTAAACAGAGTTTGGATTGCAAGCAGGTTTTAAATAAGTGTTGTAATATCATCAATTGTTACCTATGTAGGAAATTTATTTTGAAGTAGATATAACATCTGGTCAATTTTTTCTGTAGTAGTTTCCCCAACAAGTTTTTAAGACCTGCATAACCCAATTCGGCCATGCACATAAACTATACTTGTATGGGGAACAATTTCCATTAAATCCCTTTGATTAGTGTAGTAAATTGGTTTTTACTTTTTAATTAGGTTGTTGTTTTTTAGAAAAAACACCCTGTAATTGAAATAAGGCTATGAATACCTTGCACAAGAAAAAACAGATAGGTTGGAGGCTCTCTTTTATAACTCAGTTGCTCTTTCTTGGCTGTTGAGTCACTGTTTAACTTTGAACTATTGTTCAATACCTATGTCTCAATTCGACAATCTATAAAGTGTACGTAATTTTTTTTTTACTTCAGATATTGTAAAATTTAGTAGAAGTCTTTCATGAACAAAAAAAAAAGTATATGGAAGAACAGTACTTAAAGTTATAGTATATGGTAAACGTAAATTCATAACACATAGTGAATTCTTGCAATTCCCTAATAGTTTGTGAGACCCAAAATGTATGACTGTGAAACCTTCAGGATTATCAGATATTTAGTTCTCAATTATCAAAAAATATAATTATGGAAATATCTTTTTTGGTTATTCCCATGAAAGGGAATGAAAGGGCTCAAACGAATTTCTAAAAATTATTAAGACTAAACTGTGATGTAGTGTATGAAAGCTTTGCTTGTGTTTTGTTTCATTTGTTTCTCAAGGACTCCTGACTCCTCAACTGTTTCCTTAGGTCCCTTTGTCTGTTTAGGTAAGATTGAAATGCTCATTAGGCTCCCTATGTAAATCACTGACAGCAGACTCAAGGCCGTCAGTGGACACTTGGACAACTCCTAGAATGAGATAAGGGGGTCTTGAACAAAGAGACACAGAGACCCTGTTATAGGGAAACTGATTTTGCTGACTTAGGAGGGAGACACCTGGACTTTACTTCACAGGGCACACTCTGGAGACAGGGTCAACTAGCAAACACTGTGAAGACGACTGCTTACTTCCTCCCTTGACCACTGAAGACCCTCACCCTATTTTCACTACACATGCTTGGATTACGCAAATGAATTCTGGGAACTCATTGTCATAAAACACCCCTTTCTAGGAAACCTAATGAATATGTATGATATATGCGTATGTAAACTGATGTCCCTTGCTAATTCTTGGGAGCCCTGATGGTGGAGAATCCCCAGGGTGACAACACTGCCAATGAAAGAATACCTGCTTAACAGTTATATTGGATTCTGACTGTTGAATGAATTTGTTTCACCCCATTACATAAAATATTTTTTGTATTATTCTCTCACAGAAAAATATAATCCTTTGATTTGTCTGTCTAAAGTTTTTGGGTTTTTTCATTATGCAGTGGTACATCTACATAATAGTCTCAAGGAACCATAGAATAATTTATGTTGGAGGGGACCTTTGGAGGTTGTCTAGTGCACCTCCTGCTCAAAGGAGGTCCAAGCTCAGAAACTTCAGTTGAAATTTATTTTTCACATTATCATCTGTAATTTCAAACAGTATTAAAGTTGTATTCTGTTCAATGTGCCCACAAATTAAGCAGGTTATTTTTAGAGAAGCTTGTTACTTTTATACCATACAGAGAGCAAGAAATTTTATTACTATACTGGAATAAAAGCATCTCACAGTAGGAAGTCATGAATGAAGAAATCCAAAGCTGCTGAAACTCATTTTATCCGTCAGTAACTGGGATGAGAAAGACCACTGTATGCAATTTGTGTACTTTCCCTTTAAAGTTGCAGTGCATATAATTAAATGTGATTGTAAAATAAATCTAATGCACTACTGCCAGAAGACACTAGTCCACACTGGTATTCGACAGGAAAAATACATGCAGCAATACTGCTCAATCTGTAATTCAAGAGCTAACAACCATTTCTCTCAAAACAGATTCAGAGGATGTTTAGTGACTCAGCTTCAACTAACAGAGAAAATTCAGAAGTAATCTGTGTGAGTGAGAAGTGAGGCTAGGCTCTTACGTACAGATGGCCATAGTCTTACTTTTTTATAATTATCTATAGTTCCTTGCAGTTTGCAAGTGCAAATCACCTCCTTGGTTTGTTTGGGGTTTTTTTGTTTGTGTTTTTTTTTTTTTTCTTTGTCTCTATTCTGTATAAAGACCAGCTGGGGTGCCTGGGGGAAGAAAATCTAATTTGGGGCAAATGGACTTATGGGTTGCAGCTATATCAAAGGTTTCTGCATCACCAACAAAGAGGGACTGTGTAAGAAGTACAAAAATGTTATCTTATACAGAGGGAAAACACGTTTGGCACATACAGACTAAATATTTCAACAGAAAAAGATAAATGCATGAAACCACAATTTCAGTAATATGTTAGAACAGAAACACAGGCTGTCTTGAACTGTACAAGACAAATTAAGGAAGTGCTCAAAGAGCCAGGGGTACCCTCAGCAACAACAAAAAAAACCACTCCACATCAAAGAAAAGTTACTACTTTAGCTAACTGTCTTCAGAACAAGATTGCTTCACTGCTATAAGGACACGTAGAAATAATTGTGATTAGTTCTTTAATTTCATGAGATGGTTAAATGGATATTTACTGCATCAAGGTAGTGGAGTCCTGTGACAAGTAATTAAGGTTTTGTGAATGTCTTTAGAAATTAGCTGAGATGGGAAAAGGAGGCCAAAAGAAGGCTGGTGAAGTTATTCTTAGAAAAGGGGAGTGAAGAGCCTAGATAGCACAACTGGCAGTTTATAGAAACTGTTAACTGTCCGACTGGATAACAGTGCCTTTCTGCTATAGTATCAGAGTAACGAAGATGAATTATTGTTTCTCAGGTTTTCAGTGTGTAATGATGAGTGAAGATATTCTAATGTTGCCTCCAGCAGTATTTACCTCCTTGTTTTAAAATTCTAAATCTAAATTAGTTTTAAGTAGCACACATGTAGAGATGCTATTTCCATGGATGCTTCCCTATCAACTTCTCCATGTGTATTTTCTGCCATGCTGAGCAATGTGGAGCCCTTCTCCATGTGTACAACAATGTGTTTTGTCCCAGTCTTCCCAGTTTGCAGTACTTTTGGTGGACTTTCAGGTTTTTTTCCGTAGTCATTTGATGTTTAGATTTTCTTGGCAATTCTTCTAAATCACGTATTCAGTCTCCCTTCTCTGCTTCAGGTGAAAGCTTGACGCTGAAGTACATAACTATTTTTTTTTTGCTTTTG